ACTTGGAATCACATCATCACAGAATCTGAGAGCTATTCCAACTCTTTGGGAGACTCTGACTTAGACATGACAACTGAGGGAGGAGACACTTCAATGATGCTTCCTCTGGGGCACCCACCAGCAGAAAGGAGTGATCTAACCAACATATCTGCCCAAGAACTACTCCTTTCCTATGTTTTTATTGTTATGTGTTTGAAGAAAAATCTCCCTAGAATCCGAGCAGCTGATTTATCTTTACACCTCATAGGCCAAATTGTGTCACATGCCCAGCCCTAACCAGTCCCTGGCTATAGGAATGGTAGAGCCAAAGTTCTTCACCAAAGAACTCAGCAAAGGATAGTCCAAAAGTCAGCCCACAACCTGTTTTTTTTGTGTGTCTTGTGAGTTAAGAATGTTTTTGCCTTTTTAAATAGTTGGGGGGAGATCAACAATAATATTTTGAGATGATAAATATAAATTCGAATTTTATATTTCAAATTTCATTGTCCATGCATAGTTTAATTGAGATATAGTTATACACATTCATTTCTCTTTTGTCTATAGCTACTTTTAAGCTATAATGACTGAATTGAATAGTTGCAGCAAGAGACAATATGATCTGCAAAGCCTGAATATTTACTATCTGGGCCTTTCCAGAAGAGTTTGTCTAAGACTAGCTTAAACCAAATTCTATTCACCCACCACTGCTAGGTCAGCCTCTCCCAAACCAGATAATATAATTTTGTGATTTTTTTAAGGTGAAAGTATTGTTGTTGTTTTTTGTTTTGTTTTTTTTTGTTTTGTTTTGGTTTGTTTTTTTTTAAAGATGGCAGTGAATTTTTCTGAACAAAGTTTTCTTGGGAAAGAGTAAGGGAGTAAGATGTTGATTAGACAACAATCAGAAAGAAAAAGAGAGATTGAGGCTCAAGCACATTTTAGATAAATACCCCACCTTTAGTGTTGTAAAAAGCTGACTCCCCAAAATCTTTTAAGTGCTGAGTTTATTGTTCATTAGGGTGAAGGAGGACACCAGCCCACAAAGATTTAGGAGTGCCTGTGAGAGACATGGTGGAATTGGGCCAGACTTTATTGAGAACTGTTGGTTTTCCAATGTGAGAACTTGATTAGACCTGCATAAGTTTTTATACAACCATCCAGGATTGGTGAAAACAGTAAGGTGGGGTGATGGAATCAAGATCTTAGAGCACAGCTTCCATTGATGCTTTCCTTGAGAGAGGTGATGGATCATTGGGTAAGTTTCTATAAGGACAATGAAACAAACCATTTGCTTTGGCAGGAGAGTCCCAGAAGAGGCTAGAGATGCTTATAAAGACAGTGAAAAAGCAAAATCATATTGGTGTTCATGATAATGTGGGGTGTTGGGTTCTCTGTGTCCCTGCTGAGTGTGGTAAATGGTTTTGGTACTCAGTGTTTAGGGAGGTTTGTTGTTATAAATGAGTGTGAGTATATGTGTCTATTGGGGATAGGAGGGTTGGGTGGTTATGTTTAACTAAATGTATATTTCTCCCACCTCGCTTCTAAACTATAATAGTTCCAATGTCTAGACAGTTTATGCTGACTTAGCAAATATGCTGTGCTAAATAAGGCCTCCTGTTAGCTACTCTCTGGCACTCAGTTACTCCAGTATGTCTTGGTGCAGTGAAGCACAGGGCAGAGAAAAAAGAAAGGTCTGTTGACATAGTCAAGCTCTCCTCTGGGACCAGGCTAAAAGTATTATAGTTTAATTTAAAACCCATTTGTAAATAAACGCTGTCAGATGACATGGTAATGGATAGTGCAGTGCATACCTTTAAATTGATTTCCTTTTGATGTGATAAAAACATCTTATGAAAGAGATGTGGAAAAGTGGCTTTTTATGTAAAGTAACAATTTAGATGTTAAAGTAGAAAACATTTTGTTGATAGCAGTTTATTTGATTCAATGAATGTACTAAGCATTGTTTGCTGTAGGTTATAAATCAGATTTAAACCAGTTATAATTTATAAATCATTACTTATGACCTATTTATGGAAAACTTATTAATTGAAAAGGAAAATAAAGACCTTGAGGTAAGCAAGAAGTAAAAAAATAGAACAACCTGGGGATTATAAGAGAACAGGCAAATTTATCTTGCAGTGAATACCACTAATGTTTTATTGATAGCATGTGCCTGATCATACCAGTTAATCCATACCACAACTTTGAAAGATAAATATTATCGTAACTCCTAACTTATATGAAAAGAAGAAACTCCCATCAGCTTATTTTTAATATATATTAAATATTTATTATATATTTCTTATTATGAGCTAGTAATGTTACGTATATTATCTGACAGCCCTAACAAAAGCCTTTTGAATGTATAACACTGTTGTGCACCTTTCCCAGATGGGAAAAGTATAAAGTATGGACAAGTGAGTCTTCTTAATATATGGGTCCTGGAGTTTCAAGCAGGCCTAAGAAATTAGGAAGTCTTACACCAGAGCATTCTCTCTGGGCCACTGGATCCCACTGTTTCTTTGTTGCCATAATGATGGAAATGTCGGCAAGCCTCTGAAGCCAAGAAGCAACCTATGACTTTAAACTTCACCTTCTTGAGACTCTGCTCCCTTTCAGTGGTTTTGTAAATGTGGATATATATTTAAGAATTGCTAAGAACAGCTGCCTTTCTTGAGTAAGGCATCTCCTATTATTGGGAGGTGGGGGGAAGCCTCTTCTCCATCTTGTGTGATGAAAATGCAGCTAATTCACACTGAGAACCTCCCCACTAGTAGAAGAGCCAGGCCTTCACACCCCCTCACCTCAAGCCCTTGAGTGGTGGACAGGGAAGTGATGGCCAAGAAACCGGACCTGTCTCTGGCATTGATTTCTCTCCAAGGCTCACTTGGAACAATAAGATCTTTTTTAGCTGTTCTTAAAAACAAAGCTGATGATACGATTCCCTTCTAAAAATAAAGCATGTCACCGGCTGGATGAAATAGGGTTTCCTGTGTGTGTTATAACTCTTGACAGTCTGATCTCAGCCCAGCTTCTATCCCATTCTCCTCCCCATTCTCCTGCCACAGGGAACTTGTCCCTGTTCCCTGGATGGACTAGTAGATTTCATGTGTCCTTGTCTACACTTAGGCTGGTCTCTTGGCCTGAAATGCTCTACTTCTAGAAAACAGAGATCAGATAACCCTTCCCTTTGGCAATTCCTAATTTGTCAGCACAGACTGAGTTGCTCTGCCATCAGTGCCTTTGTGTCCATGTGGCCTGGTCTCAGAGAAACAGAGCAAATGTTTATGATTGCACTTCCTCAGTTTGTCTGTATTTCACCTTTTGAATTATAATTTGCTCAGGGGTAGGGATTATATTCTTCTAATGTATATGCCCAGCACTTAGTAAAATGTCTGACCAAGGGCAACAACAAAAACAGTAATTATAATAACAATAATGTCTAACATTTCTTGAGTTCTTACTACCATGTGGGAGGCATTGTCCTAAACCCTTTATCTGCATTAATTAATTTTGTCCTCACAACAACAATAAGGGGAATTGACATTATCTCTCATTTTGCAAGTCAGAGATTAAATCATAGAAAGGATAAGTTAACTTTCCCAAGTCAACATGACATCAATATTAAATTAGTGCCTTTTTGAATTGGAATATGGTCAGTTCCTGGTATCCGTCCCCCTCCCACCCCCCTTTTTTTTTCAGTCAAAGAAATTCATAGAAGATCACTGTTTATTGAGATAAGAGGTTTGGGAGAAGTCATTACACAGGTACCTAATCGCTGATATGCCAGTGGAGTGGGCCATATACTGGGTAACATAGGTTCCTTGAGAATGCCTCCTGGCACTGGAAGAGATGCAGAAAGTGAGTTATTTTATTAATATTTCTCTTAAGCTCTACTTAGAAGAATAGGGATACAAGACATGTAATAGTTCTGTTATAATAAAATCTTTTCTATTAATATAAGCAGATATACTTTATGGACAATGACTTAATGTGTGGTATGTCTACCTATAGGTAGCAGTCGGCTATATTATGAGTTTTTGTATATGAGAATCTCTAGAAGTTCATATACACTTGTGCACGTCACTATTTCAGTGGATTTTCACAACGTCCATAATGTAAGTTGCCAGTGTTTACAGTGGAGCTCACCCAAAGGAAAAGTATTTTAAAAAAATGAATATATATTTTGCCTTCATTCTCAGAGCAACTTTTTTGTTGAATATTTGAAATCATATGCTTCTGGACGCATCAGAGGAACATCTGAGCACTGGCTCTGTAATTACTATGTGAATACACTCATGTTATTTCTATGCTAAACTTATTCATCCTGAAAATGGAGAATATAACAGTTCCTACGTCAGAGGAATGTAGGATTGAAAATGATCAGGCAGGCAACCTATATATAATAATTGCAAAGGGCCTCATCCTCAGAAGGTTTACCCTTAACTTCATGCTTTGTTGTTACGGATTTGAAATTCTTAATAATTATCAACAAGGCATCCCACATATTCATTTTACATCGAGCTCTGCAAAGTAAGTAGCCATTCCCGGATAGGATTGTTTGTGAGGTCTTATACTCTGGGGTGCCTGGCAAATTGAACAACCCCAAATAAAATGTCAGCTATTACTCATTTGCAAGAGATCTTTTAGTTTTGTGGGTATAGCTTCCAAGTTCTATTTTTCTGAACTTTTCCAATTTGATCAGACAGTGAATCAAATGGTGGCGTACACCTCATGCATTTGGCTCGCACTGATTGGTTATCATGCTATTAAGTTGCTCCGCTTCATTCTTCCATTTCTCTGTGATTGCATATCTGATGGAATAGGGACTGTGGATGGCTGCTAATGTGAAGTGCAGAAACATTTTTCTAAGAATATGAGACTCATTACTCAATAAAGGATATTAAATTTGTTGTTTTCCTAGTCTGAGAAATGATGGCTGATAGGCTGTATCACTGGCATTGTTCCAGAAAGACATATTGGAAGAGATCTAACCCTCCTTTTTTGCTCTTATTGCATTGCAGACTATTTGAGCTCCAGAAGGACCCACACCAGATAAATTATGAATGTTGAACAAGATGACCTTACATCCACAGCAGATAATGATAGGTCCTAGGTTTAACAGGGCCCTATTTGACCCCCTGCTTGTGGTGCTGCTGGCTCTTCAACTTCTGGTGGTGGCTGGTCTGGTGCGGGCTCAAACCTGCCCCTCCGTCTGCTCCTGCAGCAACCAGTTCAGCAAGGTGATTTGCGTTCGGAAAAACCTACGCGAAGTACCCGATGGCATTTCCACCAACACTCGGCTGCTGAACCTCCATGAGAACCAAATCCAGATCATCAAAGTGAACAGCTTCAAGCACTTGAGGCACCTGGAAATCCTACAGTTGAGTAGGAATCACATTCGAACCATTGAGATCGGGGCTTTCAATGGTCTGGCGAACCTCAACACCCTGGAACTCTTTGATAATCGTCTTACCACCATCCCGAATGGAGCTTTTGTATATTTGTCTAAACTGAAGGAGCTCTGGTTGCGAAACAACCCCATCGAAAGCATCCCTTCTTATGCTTTTAACAGAATCCCTTCTTTGCGCCGGCTAGACTTGGGCGAATTGAAAAGGCTTTCGTACATCTCAGAAGGTGCCTTTGAAGGTCTGTCCAACTTGAGGTATTTGAACCTGGCCATGTGCAACCTCCGGGAGATCCCTAACCTCACACCGCTCATAAAACTGGATGAGCTAGATCTTTCTGGGAATCATTTGTCTGCCATCAGGCCGGGTTCTTTCCAGGGGTTGATGCACCTTCAAAAACTGTGGATGATACAGTCCCAGATTCAGGTGATTGAACGGAACGCCTTTGATAACCTTCAGTCACTGGTGGAAATCAACCTGGCACACAACAATCTAACGTTACTGCCTCATGACCTCTTCACACCCTTGCATCACCTAGAGCGGATTCACTTACATCACAACCCGTGGAACTGTAACTGTGACATACTTTGGCTCAGCTGGTGGATAAAAGACATGGCCCCCTCCAACACAGCTTGCTGTGCCCGGTGTAACACTCCTCCCAATCTGAAAGGGAGGTACATTGGGGAGCTGGACCAGAATTATTTCACATGTTATGCTCCTGTGATTGTGGAGCCCCCAACAGACCTCAATGTCACCGAAGGCATGGCAGCTGAGCTCAAATGTCGGGCCTCCACATCCCTGACCTCCGTATCTTGGATCACCCCAAATGGAACTGTCATGACACACGGGGCGTACAAAGTGAGGATAGCTGTGCTCAGCGATGGCACGTTAAATTTCACAAATGTAACCGTGCAAGATACAGGCATGTACACATGTATGGTGAGCAATTCTGTTGGAAATACCACTGCTTCGGCCACCCTGAATGTTACTGCAGCAGCCACCACTCCTTTTACTTACTTTTCGACTGTCACAGTTGAGACTATGGAACCTTCTCAGGATGAGGCACGGACCACAGACAACAATGTAGGTCCCACTCCAGCGATTGATTGGGAAACCACCAATGTGACCACCTCTCTCATGCCACAGAGCACAAGGTCAACAGAAAAAGCATTCACCATCCCAGTGACTGATATGAACAGTGGGATCCCAGGAATTGATGAGGTCATGAAGACTACCAAAATCATCATTGGCTGTTTTGTGGCCATCACACTCATGGCTGCAGTGATGCTGGTCATTTTCTACAAGATGAGGAAGCAGCATCATAGGCAAAACCATCACGCCCCCACAAGGACTGTTGAGATCATTAATGTGGATGATGAGATTACAGGAGACACACCCATGGAAAGCCACCTGCCCATGCCTGCTATTGAGCATGAGCACCTAAATCACTATAACTCTTACAAATCTCCCTTCAACCACACAACAACAGTTAACACAATAAATTCAATACACAGTTCAGTGCATGAACCGTTATTGATCCGAATGAACTCGAAAGACAATGTACAAGAGACTCAGATCTAAAACATTTACGGCTACAGAAAACAAACAATTAAAAAAAGGGACAGTTTATTAATATTGACACAAATGACTGGGCTAAATCTACTGTTTCAAAAAAAAGTGTCTTTACAAAAAAAAAAACAAAAAAGAAAAGAAATTTATTTATTAAAAATTCTATTGTGATCTAAAGCAGACAAAATTATGTGTATTCCTCAGAACCTGTTTTTGCTGCACTTATTTCCTATTTTCGCATATCTTGTCCCTGCCTTCCCTGATTGCCATATTTTTCATAGATCTCAATTCCCTAAGGAACTGGTCTAGGAAATTTTGTAAGAATTCTGTTACATTTTGAGATTTTTATGGTGAATTCTAGTGGTGAGATCCAGTCTATTTTTGTCTTTATTTTTCCTCTTTTATTTACCCCCTCATGCCCTCATGACATAGTCCAATGGGGAATGCAATATTAGAAATAGATTTTTAAGAGAGAACAAGGAAAATAATGCAAGATCTTATATTTTTCATGTAATGACCTGTTCTGTATTTATGAGGAGGACCATTCAGTGGAAAAGGAAAAAAAAAAAAAAAAAAGTAAACAAACAACAGATTAATTTACATATGAGCACCTATAAAACCCATGATCTTTTCAACAACTCTAGAACCAGAATTTGTAGTTCAAACGCTAAAAATAAGATTATAAATAAAAAATATTGTTGGTTTTTCTGTACCTGGACACAGCTCATTTGTAGTATGGCTCAAATGTAAGAAACTTAAAGGTAATTCCATTTTCTACTTCCTGAGAAAGAAAATACATTATTTTTCAGTCACAGCATCAAACACCATGGGGTCCTATCTTCTTAGGTTGACTTGAGTTTTGGATCTATATACTCAAGTATGCTGTGGTATATCCCCCTCCTCTTATTAGGGTCACTCTTTTTAAATGCTCAGATTAAAAATCATGATTTTGTGAAGTAAATATTATTTCACTTGGAAGAAAGTTTTAGTATAATTTATTTACCACTCATAAAATTCTGCTGTGAGGCAAAGTATGATGTCTGAATGCAAAGGTATTCTGTTATCCAAGTTGAAAAATCATTTTTGGTGGTGTCAACAAATTAGGTTTCATTTAACAATAATTATTAAAGACCTACCATGTGTTAAACATTGTTTTTAATGTGGACACACAATTGACAAGACCTGGTTCATGTCCTTGAATCAATCACTATCTATGAGATATATGATTAAAGAAATATTAGTTCATTATTGGGGGACAGCTCTAGATTTACTGCCAGATTGCAAATTGTGACCCTGGTTTGTCAAAATGTCAGAAATATCAGGTTATTACAGAAACCTCTTTATTCATGGATTCTTTCATCCTTCTGGAAGAGCTGCCTCTCTTTTTCCAAATGCAGATTACAGAGTTTAAATAAGTATTTGTAAGGAATTTGTTATGAATGACTGGATTGATACCAAGAGATAGCAATGCTAATGCAATGGTAACCTGCTAAAGGTACATGAAGAAACTGGAGAACGTTTAGTTATGAGAACATATTAGTACACTGCCTTCCAAGTAAAAGAGTAACTTGGAGGTTACTGGCACTGTGGCACTCTTCTGATACTTTCATATAATATATGTGTGACTTTTGCCTTTTTGTGAAGCAAAATGAAAATATACACCTCTTATTAGTGACCCTTACAACCTGCCTCCCCATTGATGAAACAAGGGTTGGCCAAACTAGAGCAAACTTCAGCTCCTAATGAATGAGCTGCTTTGATCCACACTGAACTCAGCAGGTTGGACCTCACACTAGGGTTTTGTGATGTCCAGGTGTGAAAAACCAGTCATTACTAGCAAAGTAAGTCAGAGAACTAGAAGGAATGGATGACAAATGAGTGCGATCACACAAGGGTCTTGCTTATATGTATTCATCACCAGTTCTCTTGCAATCTTTTTCTCCCTCATTCCCTGTCTTCTGTGTTAGGAAAATGATTCTCATTTGCTTTTACTGTGGAGAAGACTTGGGGGGAAAAGGAAAACATACTTTCACAGCCATTTATCAGATATATTTAATATATTCCCATATATAAAACAAACAAACAACCCACCAAGGAATTTCAAGCATGTGCTAGTCTAAAGAAGACTGGTATAAGCCAAGAGGGGAAAATTCCTGCCTTCTCTACTTGCTGTGTCCTGAAGGGGCTCTGCTCTGCTGACTCTAAACCTTCTTTCATCTTGAGTTTATAATTTCTATGGAGTTAGACCCAGCATATAATTCTCCTTTCTGTAAGGGGTTGGCTGAATAGTTAGATAAATCCTACTGAATAGAATGAAAAGTGAACTTGAACTAAAATTTTAGATAAGAAAATGAAGCATGTAATTCAGTCCTATAGGATATTATGTTTGCCCTATTTAATATGCTTTAGAAAACACACACACACACACACACACACACACACACACACACATATATTTGGATTAAAGGTTGGTTACGCCAAACTTGACTTTCACAGTCAATATAGAGACACATTTGACAAAAGGTTCTCATGCAGGTTTAGGGGTTGAAGGGTGAAGTGCTATAAATGTATGATTTAAAGGACGCTGAGAACTAAATGTATATGATTAGCAATATCTGTATTTGCTCCACATAATTTAGTTGGCTTTTGGTCCCTCAGTACAGAAGCTGCACTGTTGAATCAAGACAATCACACACTGAGTTGTGATTTTTTACACATTTGGTGTACCCTTACAGCAAAACAATTCTATGTTGACTGCTCTTTTTACTCTATACATAGGCAACCAAGAGGCAGTATTTTTTAATACTTAATGCACTCAAAAATGCCAGTTATAATTAACCAAATTAAGGTAATGTAATAATAATTGTGATTGTGTGTGTGTGTGTGTGTGTGTGTGTGTGTGTGTTGTGTGTGTGTGTGTTTGTGTACTAGAGGCCCAATGCATGAAATCCGTGCAAGGAGCTTGGCCCTTACAGCCATGACAACTGCCCTGGCCCTCACAGCCCTAGCTTCATCCGTAAGGTTGTCTGAAAGAATGTCCAGAAGGTCATTTTGCTGTCCTGCCTAATTAGCATATTACACTTTTATTATTATAGATATACTAGAAGCCCATTGCACAGATTTGTACAAGAATAGACCTTTCTTACCCTGGCTTCACTCCTGGGAAGAGAGGAGCCTGCAAGTCCTCAGTCCCAGGCCACCTGAGAAGCTGCAAGTCCTCACCAGCTGGAGCACCACTCCTGTCCTCTAACCCCTCCCCCCACTTCTCCCTCATAGCAAGTGTCCCACCCTGCCTGGACACGCAATCTTTGTTGGGTTAATTTGCATACTCATTCCTGATTGGCTATGGGTATAGAAGAAGTACAGTCAATTTACATGTATGTTTAAAAGTATACAGTTTGCTTTGGGAATATGCACCAAGGATGCTTTAAAAAGAAGATTTGCTAACTTTTTTTCTCCATATCATTTGATACCTGGTTATGACCTCAATCTTCTCAGCTTTTATGAACATTTCTAGATATTTGCATTGGTAAAGTATTAGGAGGATTTGACATAGCTCACATACATACACCCTGATATGGCTTAATTACTTCACTTTGTATTATGAATACTGTAGAATCAAGTATCATATTTTCCTGTGGTTGAGTAGGACATTATACCTTGGAACATTGATCAATGTTTTTTTGAGGGGAAAAAAATTGTTGCTGGTCCATGGTTGCTCTTAGGCCTTATAATCAGATAAAAATCAAGCTATTATTTGAGACCCGAATACTATGAAATTTTGAACATAGATCTGCTAGAAAAGAACTTGATGATGGAATGCTTATTTACATGGGTGAAAGAAGAGGAAGAAGGCATTTTGGAACAGGAATTATTGAGATGTGAATAAATATGAAGTGGAATTCCCCACTGTATATAACATTTCCAAGGTAAGTATTGATCATGGTGGGGGGAAAAATCTGAATCTTATACCCTTTGGAATAATTTTCAAGATAAATAGGTAAGTGGAAGAGTCAGATGAATGCTTTTGAATATAGGGCAATGCTCTGAAGTAATGTAATTTTTAAATGATGTGTTCAGTTGTTTAGTTGATGCTTCAGCTTACTAGTTTTCATAAGGATATAAAAAATAATTATATCCCTAATATTACACACCTAACATGTGAATGCCTGAGTGAGCATTCGTACCTGTCTAGGAAGCCCTTTGTCTGTTCCTCATAAAATATAGTAACACAGAGTCAAATCTCATAAAAGCATCTCCTCCAACTATATACACATCATTACATTTTTATTAGAGTATTTTTTGTACAAAAGATACTTCAGATAAAATTAAGTCTAAGAAGTTGCCTTAAGAAAATTCAGGTACCTTTTACTGTTTCTCTTAAAATTCTGTATTAGATAGAAACCAGACATGACATTGTCTGACTGTGGCTTATCAAGATACAAAATAACATGCATCTGGCTCTACGAAAGAAAAAAATAAATCTCCTAGAATTACGGAAAGTGCTCTGTCAATTAATACCCAAATTTAAATGATGAATGAACCATTTTACTACACAAACCAGTTCATGTCATTTTTGATTCTCCAAGTGCTACCAATAAAACATCTGAGATTCTAACCTTTCTTGGCATTATTTGAGAAATGTATCCATACTAGATATAAAATTATAATATTAAAGTGTATATAATTAGTGTTCAGCAGCAGTGAGGGAAAACTACTGTTCATTTTGTTTCCATCCAGATAAATTAAAAGGAAAGGACAAGGGAGAGCAATTGCTGTAAGACAGAAAATAAATAAAGCAGACATCTTGAAAAGAACACATGATACTGAAAAAAAAAAATCATTTGTTTTGTAAATTTTGTTATACACAATAAACAAGAATACTCAAATACACTCTGCACATTACATAGACAGAAAAGACCTATGAAACTCCATACCACAAAGGCTTATCTTTTAATAGTTGGTCCAATAATTTTATTTTCCAGCTTATTAATCCCATGCTTTATTATGGAGTTGATGCTGAATTGCTGGATTTGAACTTATCCAAATGGCATCAATCCTGTCTATCTGATTGGCAGAAGTAGTGAGTATCTAGTTTTCTACTCAGATGAAAGAGGGGATTAAATATTGTTTGAAGTTGGAGGGGCTGGTTTCCATTGTGGCAGTAGAACCCATTCTGATTTTTGTCTGCTATCCTTAACAACTTGGCAGAATAACCTCCTATAATATTTCAACCCTGGGATATCAGGATGGAAAGCCACATGGGAAGTCCAAGCATTCATCATGTCTCTATATCAGTAAGACTTCTGAATAACAAATATATCTCCTTACTTCTCAGCTCTTAGTTCTGCATTAAAAGAGTTAAAAATAAAACATGACTCAACAATTGCTATTTAAGCATGGTTGTTAGTTTTATAGTGACTAGTTCTCTTAGACAAATAAATGCAACTTCAATCCAACTAAATACATTAAAACATACATAAAAGTAGCTATGGTATATTTTATGGAATGTATTTTATTATAGCTATTAAAATTTTAAATCTATCAATTTATAATATGAAGGCAATCATAGGTTTCTTTGTTAATGGAATCATTATGGAAAAAGTTAAGCTTAAAAAATTTGCAACATGCCTCAAAGTCAAATACTGAAATAGATTCTCAGGTCCCAAGGACAGTTCTTTTTAAAAAAATGAAGTTTTCAAAATGAAAGAG